CTAGGGAATTTGATGTGGCGTGAAAATCTGTAGCGTTTCAATATTTCAATCTGCGACTCGATGCAGTGTGACAATTGTAGACAGTTATATATCGTTAATTTGCTATAAGGAATGTGGTAATAAGTGCTGAAAGTGGTATCCATTTATCTCCATGCAATAATAAAGATTTTGTTCGAATCTGTTCCTCACATTTTCAAGCATGTCTTGAGTTATTTGTCTACACTTAGCCGTGATCCGCTGACGAAGATCTTGAATGGTATCTGGATTCGCACTAAAAACTTTACTTCTCAAATGGTATAAACTGTTATACAAAAGCTACTAAAGACTTCATGGAAAATCTAAGAACTAAAAAAATTGAGGTTTTCATTTAAAGATCTAAAGTGTAACGCATTATCTTATTTCTGGATCACCTTGTATTTTAGGGCTATAGATGAAAAGACGTCCCCCTAGAAATCAAAATTGACGTGTTCGAGTGTTTTTCCCAAAATATACCAGGAAAGTCATAAATCGGGTTGCGACCTTTAAGTTGCGCCACCGTCAATGTTGGTTGGGCTTTTGAGTTAGCTAACTTCCAAAATCTCAAAAACTGAAGAAAACTGGTAAAAGTCCGGTATTTCCGATGTCAATGACAATCTTTCGGGCAAAAATTCATGTTTTTTTTTTTAATGGATCTAGAAATAACGCAAGAAGGCACTGATATAGAATGGATTCTTAAGTTTGCGACATTTTCGTTACCTAATCAAACATTCGAAAAAAGAATTCAAAATGTTTCTTTGTCAAACCTACAAGTTTGCCAAATTTTTTCAAAATCACACTAATGCAGACTGTAGCAATGCAGCTGTGGTAATTTTTCTTATTTTTATGAAAATGACGTCCGCAAAAAATATTTTCTAAAAAACACGTTTTGAAGTTTGAAGGCTCCTAGGGGCGATCTGAAAAATTGGCTATGGTAATTTCACTTAATTTACCTTAAGTTTTTTTCTGAGAGTCCAAATTTTTGTCGAATTCAATTTGAATTACGTCTCGAGCTTCTAAACATCCTCACAAGTTACAAGCTGACTCGGCACTCTCGGCAGCCATTGAGAAACAAGGACCGTCATAAAAATAAGGCTACGTAGAAATTTACACTGACGAAGAAACTCGGTTTGCCTTAAGGCGTTACCAATTTCTCCGGCATCAAGAAAAGGATAAATATGATCTTAAACGGATATGGGAGGATAATTATAACATTGCGGCTTCCTGTGATAGTCCGCTGTATTTGGATTGGAATCAATTATTTATTGAAGCAGATAAGGCGTTATGCGATGGGTGATTAAATATGTAGGACAGTATATCTCCTATGAATATACCTGTTAGTGTGAGGGAAAGCCTTGTATAGAGGGGATATCTAGAGTCTAAGGTATACTGTGTGTGATGAAAGCATCGGAATGACTTTGTAATCTTCCAGGTTGGAAACTTTAAGGTTAGGCCTAAGATCAAAAAGATGCACAGAAGAAATTTCAAGATCTTAAGCTTAAGGAAACTAAATCCACAATTTCAAGGGACCTGTGATCCGTATTATTACGTTTGTACTCAATGATGAACAGAGTCAGTTTTTGGATCTTTTCTTCAATGAGACGCAAAAAATACAATTGGTTTCAGAACTAGGCATGCACATATTACAGCTTTTACTTTATATTACTCCCTATAGATTCTATATAAGCACGTACATATTTTATCCGAAAACGGCATCTGGTTGATTTATAACTTAGTACCTAATGTCGCAATAATTATAACCAACCTACTTTCTACGTGAAATGCCATCAGACACATCAGAAGCAAATAAAATATGCATCCTTAGACGGCAGGACAAGTCAATTATAGCGGTTACGTATGACCAGGGAGTGCAAGTTGAAGCTCCGTTTTGTTATTTACTAAACACAAATCTGAAAAATAGTCAGAACGACGTATTAAAAGCATAAAACGTCCAGTTTATAATGTAATGTACCTTGAACGACTTATTTCCAAAAACACAAATTTCGAACTCATTCCCTTTAAAAGCGCTTAGCACCGCTGAGGTGCCAGCAACCGTATTACGTTTAAAGAATTAAAAAATGGCGTCAAGTAGGTCGACTCTGCACTTCCTATGCAAGGCCGGCATCAGTTCATAAAGGATTAAATTCGACAGTAACTAAATTCAAATTCAAAATACATTTACCCTTCGAGGAAAAAAATTAGTTACGTGCTTGTAGAATAGAGAAATTAAACGGACCAAGTCAGCTGAACAGGCTCATATAGTTAGTCCCTAGAAATTATTTCCCGGATCGGCCGGTAGCTACCTTCCATCTGGCAACGTTGCAGCGCTTACCAAAGCACCGCCTCAGTACGAGCAGAACAGTCAAGCAGATCGTCACGCAGGTTGTCGATGTCAGATAGCAGAAGGAGGTGGTGCCTTTGAAATGACAGCCGTTACTCCTATTTACAAAAGTGGCAATAAGTAAGAAACATCAAATTACAGACCAGTATCACAATTATCAAGTGATCAAAAATAAAATAATATGTCTAGATCAATATAGGTTCGTGGAAGGAAAAGCCACAACTAGTAAAATTTGTTACCTTTGCTGATTTAAACTCGTTCGATACAGTAAGCCATTCTGAACTTTTGAGGGCTATAGAGAGACTGGTATTCACCGCCAACATAACTCTTGAAGGAGAATTATACTAAGTGACATAAATCCGAACACCCAGTTTAAATGGTTTTATTTTAATAAAAGTTGGTGAATGTATTTATCTTACTGTAAATAACAAGTAAAAAAATGTTCAGCCTTATCAGTTGGACATTCCGGTTTTTATACTGCTTTTTTTTAATTCACTAACGCTCTAAAAATGAATATTTCAGCCGCAGTAAAGAATCAGCATTGGCAGATTTTGGTTCTTGACATTCTTTACGATCGGTTACAATGCCTAGAGTACGGAGACCTGTACGATTTCGTCAACTTAGTGAGTTTAATAGGGGCCGTATAGTGGGACTTCGGGAAGCTGGACTTTCTTTTCGGGCAATCGCAGTTAGAGTGCAAAGAAGTGTAGACACTGTGATTAGGTGTTGTCAGGCATGGCTTCGAGAAGGCCGTACGCAAAGAGCAAGGGGCACTGGACGCCGCCGTAGAACAACAGACCGTGAAGATCGCCGCCTAAAATTATTGGCCTTAAGGGACCGTTTCTCCACTACCAGGTCCATTGCAAATGAATGGTTTGCAGAACACGGAAGACCTATCGGCATGCGAAGTGTTTACCGACGAATGAGAAGTTTTGGCTTGTTTTCATACCGGCCACACTGGGTCCTCCCTTTAACTCGAGAACACAGACGTAATCGCCTTGAGTGGTGCAGACAACGGTCACTCTGGGATTAGGAATGGAACAGTATTGTCTTTAGTGACGAGTCTCGATTTTGTTTAGGCATGCACGATGGTCGTGCCAGGGTTAGAAGGCGACGTGGTGAAAGGAGGAATCCACAGTTATTTGTTGAAAGACATGTTCATCACACTGTTGGAGTTATGGTTTGGAGTGCTATAGCTTAGGGTTCCAGGTGACCTTCAATCTTCATCAGAGGTAACATGAACGCGCAGCGTTATATAAACTAAGTTCTAGAACCCCATCTTTTACCCTATCTTGACACCCTGGCAGATCCAACTTTCCAACAAGATAATGCCCGACCACATGTTGCAAGAGTCACAATAGACTTCTTTCAACATAATGATGTCATATTGTTACCACGGCCACCAGGATTTCCCGACTTATCCCCAATTGAGCACGTGTGGGATATGATGGGTAGGAGATTGCTCAATTTGCAACGTCCTCCTCAGACTCTAGAAGCACTTCGAGAGAAGTTGGTGGTTGCCTGGAATGAGATACCACAGGAGGACATTGACCACCTGAACAGAAGCATGCCCAGGCGCGTTGGAGAATGCGTAGCACATCAGGGTGCATCCACACATTATTAAAGGTCAAAGGGCTTTGAAGCAGTGGCATCATTTTGAATTTTTTATCATTTACTTATTATGCTTCATTAAGCACTTATACACAATTTTATTAAAATAAAACCATTTAAACTGGGTTTTCGGATTTATATGTCACTTAGTATATGACAGAGATGTATGTATAAAGAAAATTTGTCATATGACTAACCGTTCATAGACCTAGTAGTCATGATAGAAATGTGTAAAACATTAACACAAGATATAGCATAATGTCATCAAGGACTCCCAGACCCCAAAAGCAATTACTCAGGAAATCGTTTCTGTTTTTAGCCACTAAATTGTACAGGGTGGCCAACTAAGAATGCGAGGTACTGTATCTGTGAACTTATCCATCGTAGAGGCCTGCGGCAAAAACAGTAATCACTAAAGCGGTCAAGAGAAGAGCATGGAAAATATTTTCAAGTTACCGAAATTTTCGCTGTAATATTGAATCTAAAAAGTGATGTTTCTGCAAATTCGGGTATTTTACCTTAACAAAAAATTACTGATCCTTAAATTCGAGGACAACCTAAACATTCTTTTAACAATATTTGCTGTATCTCTAAAGGTAAGATGGTGGGGGTATTCAAAAGTTTCCGTAAACAAATTCATCGTTCGTACAACTCATTTGGTAAACTGAAGGATTGATTTTCTATTGTTGAGTGAATACTTATACATGTTCATATATACTCGTACACTGGGTTCATGTTATTATATAAATTATCAATATTACGCTACATTTTTCCTGTGTGAAAATACAATTACGTATCTTTAGCAGGTTGAATACGATTCACCCACAGGCTACGCATACTATGCATATTGTTCTAAATTAATTTACACGTTGTTATTTTGTAGAATGGGCATCATTACATTCAGTTTACAACAACAAATTTTCTAGTTCCATGATTTTAGGAACTCAACGAATCCATTAAATGCTCCAAATAAACGTGTACTTCATCCGCACAGAACAAGTTAATTCAAAAACGTAAAAGTAATTACCTTCCGATGTGGAAACAGGTTTGGAATTCTACTTCGTTATATGATTTTTACAGAACAGGGGTAACAACGTCGAGGTGCCGGTTTTACGAGAAAAACGTAAAGCCAGACAGGTTCGAATTCAATCAGTCAGAGATTCCACCTGTACACGTTTATAATTTCTTACACGGTGGCAAAAATCAACGCAGTAAATGGCAGGAATATGGAAGGAAAGTTATCGAAGCTAGACAGTCGCGAGTGGAAATTTGGAATAACATCGGCTAGTTATAGACAAATACAGCATAGTTGAGGAGAACAGACCGGCAGACTCATGTATTGGACGTAGGATATGCTAGCATCATAGAAGAGAACTCGTAAGAACAAATTCCTTTGATATGTCGAAATCACTAACCGCATCAATATAGGTAATAATAAAAATAGTATTAGAATTTGTTGCTCAACATTCTCCCATTTACAGGACAAAGAATTGAAATCTGGCATAACAATAAAAAAAACAATCCTAATTTGTCAGGATTTAAGGGAATAAATAAACATTAATATAACATATGTAAAATCCCCTTGAGGAAAAGGATACATAAATATATCAGAAAAAGCGCATATTCTGTGGAAGTTCATGCACATGACTTTAAGGCGTTGCTTCTGGAACATGTCATTGGAATTAAAAATTGGAGCTGGTATAACAGGTCACAAACTGCCGACTAATTACATTTCTTCCGATGTTATAAGAGTAAATTACTATTTGTTGTTTTCGACAGAATTTAACCACCTTGCCTTCAGCGATATTCAGATGGAGTTTATTCAATCAACACCAATACTTCAACTTAGATAAATACTCAATCAGTGATGCTATTGATTACAAAGAAACAATTCAAGCCATCTGCGGATATAAATGTTTCACAATAAATATTGCTTATAACAAAGAGCAAAAGATTCAATGGCCCTAAATTTGATCCCTGTGGTACCCCTGGAGATGCTGTACAGCGAAAATACTCGAAGCCATTGTACAAAAACAAATTCAATTTGGCAAGAAGTATCCTGTGGTCAGCTTTACCAAATGCCTTTGAAAAATCCGTCTGCGGGCCTTGTCGATCCAAAATACTTGATGCTAAGTTGACGATAGTTGATCCACCATTCATAAAACCATGTTATATGTTATAAATGAATATTTCTAAAAGTTTCGCAAAATTGGTAATGTTTGAGGTTGATAGATAATATACAGGGTGGCCCATCCATGCGCGGTCGGAATATTACTCATAAACAAATACATTTTGGGTAAATCTAGTTACGGTATGCTATACATGACATTTGAGGGCACATTTCTAAAATATTGGCAATTATACAAGGTGTCCCAATTTTGACCTACATATCAAAGTTGTGATTTTTTAAATGGAATGCAACAAATGTTATTGCATATTATTGGATAAACGAATTCAAAAAAGGAAGATTGATATAGCATACTATGGGGTTTTGGTAATTGGCTACTGAGATGTAAAGTGTTTTGTCCAGAAAAACCGTCCACTGCGGCGGCTCCTCAATCCGCCATTTTGAAATTTGGAGAGCTGAATTTTGTATCAAAAAAAACTCACATACCTCAGCTTTTATCTGATTTGTTATTTTTTCGACTTTTCATGTTTGCTCGTGCAGAGTGGTCAAAAACGCGAATTGACCTTTTTCCAAAAAATGTCAAATGCATCACCCTGTATATTTGTACAAGTTTGGATTCAATGTTTAATATAATAGAACAACACACCAAAATTAACGAAAAAATCACATCATCCATGGAAACAAAAGATGAACAGTGGGCTAGTTCCATATTGCCACTAAGAGTAAAGATTTGACTGCATATATCAGTTTCTGCTCCAATTTGCCGTGCACTTAAATGGGGATTTTCCTGCAACTTTAATAGAACCTCCAACTGATTCGTCTCATTGGTGACACTTGGATTATTTATACATTTTTCACTGTATTTCACTGCTCCACTTGATTCAAAACGTTCTCGTAGTGTGGAAAATGTTTCCGGCCTTGGATGTCGCATATTAGGGTACTGTTGCTTATAAATGCGAGATGCTAGGAAACTATTAATAACAATGATAATAATAATAATATTTATTACCCTCATCAAACAGTATATAGAAAGCTTACAAACAAAAAAAAGCCTCAAGAGAATAAAGGGCTACATCAGCTTGCCCCTTAAAGAAGCAGCTGCGAGAGCAAAAAAAACAAACAAATTTAAACAATTCTATAGTAATACAAATGGCTATTAAGACATTGATAATTACTAATGTTTTAATATTAAGAAATATAGCGAAGTATAGTAAGTAGAGAACTGGAAATTAAGAGCTAAAACGGAAAACGAGGAGAAAGGCTTCGCCCAAAACGAACACCATATTCACCATTTCTTCTTTAGAAAAATTCTTTTTCAAACACGTTTTTATTATAATGCTCACAAAGCTAATTTTGACAGTTTGTAACTGATCAACAATTTATTTGTTTCCAAGGATGATGCGATATTTTAGGGAATTAAGCCGTTCTATAAAAGACGTGCTAATAACCGAAAAAATAGTCGTAAAATCCCCTATGTGTCTAGTATCAAAAAAAGCTTAGAAAAAGTTGAATCCAACCTTGCACAAATATACAGGGTGATGCATTTGAAGTTTTTGAGAAAAACTACAATATGCGAATTTGACCACCCTGTATGAGCAAAAATTAAAATTCGAAAAAGTCAGAAATAAGATCTGAGGTGTGTAAGTTTTCTTTGATACAAAATTCAGCAATCCAGATTTCAAAACGGCGGACTGAGGGGTTGCCGAAGTGGGGGGTTTTTCTAGATAAAACACCGCATAGTATGTTATATCAATTTTCATCTTTTGAATTAGCTTATCCAAATATGCAATAAAATTTGAGGCATTCTATTTGAAAAATCACAACTTTGATATGAGGTCGACATTGGGACACCCTGTATAATGACCAATATTTTAGAAATGCGTCCCCAAATGTCATGTATAACATCCCATAAATAGGTTTTCCCAAAATCTATTTGTTTATGAGTAATATTCCGTCCACACATAGACGGGCCACCCTGTATAACTGAACCTCCAAACCTCCTTCATATGTGATAATAATTATTACCTTTATATCATTCGCATCTTATCTCTCTGCATAGGAAAGCTTTGAACACTTTTACACTTTTATCAACCCTTTGAGTCAAAGATGATAACACAGGAACAATCTTTCACCCAAACATAAACTGTGTAGCTTCGTAAATTTTGATTATCGTCTTTATTTTGCCTGTCCACCATTTTATCCAGTTGCGTGAGGCGGGCCGTTAAATTTTATTACCTCGAACCATAGATAACCACGTGTGTCGTGTGACTATTAAGGTAATTACTTTGAAAGATACAATGGCATAAGGTGATAACATTGTTGAAAGCCTTTTTGCATAGTAGTGTAGAAATTATTATCTAATTTTGCGATTAAAAATAGATCTGATGGACTTCAACATCATTCAGGTGTTTTTCAATACTCTGACTCGATAACATTAAAAACAGTACAGTGTTAATAAAGTGACCTTCACAAACTCTTTCGTTTTTTTTCGTAAAAACCATTACTCATTCATCCAATTTTGAGAGAATTTGTTGAAACTTACCAAGTGTATACTCCCGACAGAAAATTTGAACAAAGGTAACTGAAAAAATACTTTATTGAAACCACATATTGTCATGGCCATCTAGATTGTCGGATTAAAATCTCTTAATTCTTTCCCTTTGAGGTTACGGTTTTATTGCGTGTTCTTCTTATTCTATGTTATCTAATTTCTTGGTGATACTTGCTAAATTTTCGAATACGAATACACGAATTTTTAAAAAATGTTTGACTGTGATCTTGAAGACAAACTTTCTTCTTAAAATTACCACAATAAATCATCCTTTGAAGTATACCTAGGTATATAATTGACACTGGCTGAAATTGATTTGTTCTATTACCATTTCTGTATCCATAACCAACCGAATACGACGCTGTTTCATGTTTTCTAGCAATTGTCGGTACAGTGCAGGTCTAGTCAACATAGTGAATTCAGGTTATAAAAGGATGCTATAAAGGCTATAGGCGAAACCATATATAAAAATTGGTATCCAAATCTGAATCAATCCAAATTAAGTTATATTCGGTTGAACCACCTCGCCAAATTTTGCGATCGGATAGGTCTCTCCTGGGACCCCTCACTTTTAAAACGTGTTGTTTCGGAAATATTTCTTTACGCAATTTTGCTTAAAAGAGTTTTGGAAAAAATACCGCTGCTACATTGTTATATCATACACAACCGTGATATTTTTATAAATTCGTGCAACCAAAATATTTTTTGTTTTTTTTTTATTTTTTTAAGAATTCTTGAAATTCTCTGGAATTTTGTGAAGCTCTTTGAAATTTCTTGAATAATTCCTAAATTTTTCGATATATCCTCCAGTCTGTTGAAATTCTCTTAAAATTTTTTAAATTTTTTGATATTACTTTCGGTATTTATTGAAATTTTTCGAAATTTTTTTTAATATCTTGAAATTTTTTGTTGGGCAATGAAAATTTCGGAAATCTCAAAATTCACTGTACATATGCATCAGTGCTTTCTTTCGTACTTAACAGATCGACTGCCAAAATCACGAATTTTTGTCTAGAAAATTGACAAAAATCGGAGAAACCACATTTTCACCCATTTCCTCTGATTTCTGACATTTTAATCGTAGTATATCATAAGTTGGTCAACTCAAAGGCTCAACATATACTATACATGTATTTTTGTATATTTTTCAATGTTCCATAATCTAAATTTTTCTCTGTTTCCCGAAAGAATTCGTAAACAGGAAAAACCGCATTTCAGATTATTTTCTTCGATTTTTGATGCTTCTGGATAAAAAAAAATAGCTCGCTTACCTTGTAACCCATTTCGTATGCGCGTTTTTCAGTTTTTTTTTTCATTCCGTTAAAATAATAGTTATTTGACCGGAAAATCGGCAAAAATTGAAGGAACCTTTATAACAGATTTTTCCGCTTTTCAGTATTTTTACAGTAGGATATCATATGACTTTGTGCATTTCTCCAGGTTTCGTTGTCAAAATTGTGATTTATAGCCGGGAAAATTGCGATAATAAGAAAATTCGTTAACGGTCTACAATTTTTTACGTTTTTGATTAG